AATTTTAAAATTTTACAGTTTTCACCGCCTATAATTAAAATTCAAAAACAACTTGTTTAAAATTTGAAAATTTTCTCCATTATAACAGGAAAATAAAAGTATTAAAACTGATAGATCAAAGGAAAGAGACAGATATAAAGAGATGTTTGTACTTTGACAACTATTTTTTGGTTTAGATCTAACTGAATCTAACATAGATCTATTCAGTTCAGATGTAGATCTGAGTAGATCTACTCATCTTCTTTATTGGAAACTCATCTCTTTCGCCGTCAGTGAGTACGAATCAAGGAGCTAGTGCTCGGTAGTTACCTGTGAACCCCAATCAATGTGGTTGCCGATGGTTGTAGATTAGAAAGAGAAAGAAAAAAAGAAAGGCGTCATTGTGGTCATGGTCATCGCCGATATCAAATAAAAAGAGATACAAAGAAGAAACAAGGTGTAAGGAAAGAGAAGAAGATAAATGGGTATAGAATTTTTAGATCTATCTAAAAGATTTTGAGATTAAATACAATACACACTTTTCAAAAAGTGCTTAGGGGTAATTTGCCATTTTTTTTTTTTTTAAAGATTTGAAGGTGCAGTTATTAAATATGTTTTTTTAAAAAAAACATGTTTAGTAAATTTGAGAACAAAGTGGAAAAAAAAAACTCCTCACTTTTGTAAATAAGTTCAAATAAAATATAATCGTTAAAGGGCCCAAAAACGGACCCCTTGTTTTTTATGAACATTAAGGTGCCGTTTGGTAACAGTATTGAATTTCTTATTTAATTTAATTTTTTTTTGTGTTTTAAAATTTATGATTTATTATTTTTCAGAGTGGCCTAACTACTTTAACTACCTCCCAAGATTCAAGAAAGGCTAGTTTTGCCCTTTCACAAACTCATCCTAATCTTTTTGGAAAAGCAATTTACAAAAACAAAAAACCGTGAAACCCTACTACCAGCGGTTATAAATACCCACACACCGCAACCCATAATTTTATTCTTCCTATAGTTTTAACCTAGCAAGAGAAGGTTCGTCTCTTTCTTTTCCTTTGTGTTTTTTTTTTTCTTTTTCTTCTTGAATGATTGATCTGTTATTATTCGTATTTTGTATCAACCCTATGACAATCTCAATCTTGGTGTCATGTAAATTTTATGATAGACTTTCTTTGTGTTAATGCATCTGAGATTTTCAAAAATTGTGATTGTATTATCTTCTACATGTTTGTGATTGCATGAATGTTTGTGATTGCATAACTTGAATACCATGATTCCTTCTACATGTTTTTGTTAATTTTTGTATACGTTACCATGTCCATGTTCAATGTGTGTGGTGAACTCCAGGTTTTTTTATTTTTTATTTGAATTTTTTTCCTTTTCCTTTTTTTTTCCCCCCTTTTTTATTTGATCTATCACGTTCACGGACACTGCCAGATATTTGCCCGATCTAGGTAGAGGAGCACTTTGCATGGGTTTCTTGATTAGTCGAGATGCGTGTAAACGGGTCCCAAAAAAACTGTATCATCAATTGGAACATGGACTTCTGTAAATTTTTTTTATTTGCAATGGTCTATGCCTTTCATTCTTGGTATTCTTGGTGGTTCATGCAAATTTTAGTGGCCCATGAACTAGGGGAACCTAGAATTATTGCCCAGATTTCTGTCTAGAATTGAAGTGTGGGTAATTTTCTAGATTAATTTTTTGATTCAGTTTAGTTTAATTTTCAAAAACTGTTTGTAGACGATTTCGTTTGTTTAGTGAATTTTCAAACCAAACAATTTTTAAAAACGGTGTTTGCAGTATTACTTATTTCAATATACTGGTTTTAGAGAATAAATATTGTAAACATTGATACAAATCAGTCACACATTTAATTTTTGTAAGTCTATGTGTCATCAATCAAATTAATTATAAATTTTGACAAAATAACTCAAGGCAATACAATCACAAAGGAAAAATGATGCAGATTTATAAAAATTAATATTAGATTGCATTTGTTATTATCTTTGAATGATATAATAAACACATTAATTTATATATTTTGTGAATGTCTCACACGTATCTTATAGTGCATTTATTTATTTTATTTTATTATAACTATTGTGTTGGCGGGGCCATATCGCATTGCGTTTCTGTGTCCTGTCCATGCTTCTTAGAGGTAGAGTTTCTTCTGTCTTGGTCTCTTTGTGAGACTATTGCAGGACAAACAAGACATAAGAAAGAAAGAAAAAAAAAGAAAAAAAAAAAACCTGTCTTCTGCATTAAATATAATGCAAAGTCCTCTGAAATTTGCAAATTCTAATTTGCTCCTTGTTGCCTTGCACTTACTATTGTATTCCTTTTGTATGTGAGTGTGTGTCTTTTTATACATAAAAAGAAGAACATGTATTAAACTATTGTCTTGTTATTTTGATTTAGCAGAGCAACATGGAGTCTCAGGTGAAGAATGCACAGGTGATACAAGTCATTGGGAGGACAGGGTCAAGAGGGCAGGTGACTCAGGTAAGAGTGATGTTTATGGATGAGTCGAAGCGTACTCTTATGAGGAATGTCAAGGGACCGGTCAGGGTTGGGGATGTTCTCACCCTGCTCGAGTCTGAAAGGGAAGCTCGAAGGCTGCGCTGATTTTCATTGCCCCCAGACAACGAATATTTCTAGTTATGGTTATCCTTTTGCACTCATTGCCATCGTGATAGTTCAGCATTATGTAATAAAGATTGTTTTTTTAAGACTGGTCTTTTTAAATGGCATATGGAGATTATTTTGCTTGAGAAATTTCTTATGATTCAACTGTTGCAGTTCTTTGGTATTAGTTACTATTGTGCCTTTTGCTCTTTTACTTTTTGGAGTAGAGATTTTTAGATGCAAAAATCTCAAATGAAGTTCCAAGACCGAATTATTGATATATCGATTGATATTGTTTAATATTAATTGATATATGATTGTGTTCGATATAATCTCAGTTGAACTGGGAATTGGGAAGTGTTGGAATGTAATATTCATCTTTTCACATTGTTCCTAATATATGTCATAGCATTGGTTGTTGTCAGTTTCTTAGCGTCTGACTTTTTTTTTTTTTTAATGGAATTATTTATTATTTATAAACATTAAGAAAATTAATCACATTCAACCATTCCATAGTGGTAAGATAATGAATGAGATCAGCCTTATTGCCTATTTACCAACCAAAATAAGTCACAGTTAATTTTATCAAATTGACTTTATCTTCTATACAATTAACCAAAACGAGTCCAGTTAGCTAGCTAGTTCCATTCATCTCGTCACTAATACATCAAGAGCTAAAATATTGAATTTTAATAGTTTAATATTTTAGTCAGGATCTTTGATTTATTTATTTAAAAAAAAAAAACAAACAAACTTACCGAAGGCCGTAATAGTTGGCACTAACATTGACCCCCCAGTAATGGTGTACACCGAATATAAAAATTATTGAAATTGCTTTATACCTAAAAGTTAATGGATAAAGTCTTTATCCTTCAATTTAATAATTGTTTTTTTAAAAAAAAAAAAAATCATTTTATTCTTTCCTCCTTTCACCCCCTTCAATTACCACCAATCCCTCATCATCGGACACCCCCCCTCCTATCGAGTTCGGATCCTCTCCAGCCTTTCCTTCGGGTGACGGCTTAGATCACTCCACTGAACATTTATGGTTGAGATTAGCTTAAAAAAAAATAAAGCCACTGACACACGTCCTACCACACTCATTCACTCCTCTTTCTCTCTCTCTCCCCTAATCAAAAATTTAAAAAACTGTTTTAATATTTTTCATTTTATTTTCACAAGATATATATAATTTTTAATATAAAATTTTAATTTTATAAAATTAATATTATTGAAAATATACCTTTAAAATGAGACTAATATTAAATATATTTAATAAAAATTTAAAATAAATAAAAAGTAAATACTATGTTTAGTTATGTTTTCAAATTATTATTTTTTAAATATAAAAATTATTTTGATGAAAATAAACACACAAAAATCATATATTTTTGAAATTCTCAAAAACAATTTTCATTCCAAAAAAAAAAAAATCACATGTTTTTATTTTCTTTAATATACAAAGTCAATTTGTGCATAGGTACAAATAAAATATTTTTTATTTTCTTTAAAACACAAATTCAATTTGTGCATAGGTGCAAACCAAATACAATATGTTCTTTATTTTTTTAAAAAAAAATTATAAACTTGTTTGGTTAATAAAATAAAATTAAGAGTCATTATTTTCTAATTTAATTTTATTAAACTCGTTTGGTTAATAAAATTAAATTAAAAGTCATTAAAATTAAACTCGTTTGGTTATTTTTTAAAATTAAAACAGTTTTTTAAATTTTTTATTAGAATAGAGAGAGAGAGATAGAGAGTGAGTGTGGTGGGATGTGTGTAAGTGACTTTATTGAATTATTTTTATTTTTTTTAAGCTAATCTCAATCATAGATGTTCAGTAGAGTGATCTGGGTCATCACCTGGAGGGAAGATTGGAGAGGCACGCTGGAGAGAATCTGAACTCCCTCCTACCAACCTCTCCAACTAGCACCTCTGTTTGAAAACAAATTTTGTCATTACTTTTGACAGCTAACTATCATCTTATAATCACTTTTAGCTACTGTCAATTGCATCTGGCGATTACCATATGTGATCATCAACAATGACCTTTTATGAGATAATCCCTTTCACTTAATTATTTAAAAAAAAATTAAATACTTAAAATACACGTATAAAAAAAAAAAGAAAAAAAAAAGCATGTAACACTTGTTTAATGAAAAATAAATAAAAGGACATGTTTACTGTTTTTATAAATAAAAAATAAAAAAAATTATAAATATTATCAAAATGGCACATTTTCATATTGACCTATAAAATATTAACTCATTTTAACATTCTGATTTCACATCGGTTAAATTGTAGGAATTTTATTACGGTCTCAAATATTTTGCATGATAATATGCAAAAATATGAAGACAAAAACGAAATAAAACGATGTGTTCAATGTTCCGACACAGAGAGAGAGAGAGAGAGAGAGAGAGGGAGGGGGGAGACCTAAAAATTTTACAATCCACAAAAACATCCACAGACTTGAGAGGCTGACCCTTCTCTTCTCAGCGTTTGGTTTGCGAGAAAAGGGTGAGAAAAATCAAAATAAAAAAAGGTCATGGCGATGCTAATGCCTTCCCGATCCTTCCTGTCTGTAAGTCCTCTCTCTCTCTCTCTCTCTCTCTCGTGAATTCTGATACGAACGAATTACAGTTAAGGCTATGTATGTTTGGATAATAAGAATATTCAAGTAATGGGAGTGTAATTTCTGGTACCAATTCCAGAATCAAATTTCTCTACTATGTGTAATCTGATTCCACTACTTTCTCATAGGAATCATAAAAGTAGTTGGGCTTATAATTTTTATTTATTTATTTTTATCATTTTCTCATGAAGAATTTCTAACAGAAACCAAATGTTTAATTGAATTAACAGGGCATTAATAGGACTCTGTTCAAGTTGAGATGATGTTTTATTTTTTGTAGAATCTTTGTTGTAATGGATGAAAAACAACTATTTTCACCTTCTCATTTGAAATCCACTTATACCAAGGCACTCAAATCCTTGCATTCATTGGTTTATATCTAAATTGTAAGTTTTTCAGTTCATTTGAAACCTACTCATAACAAGGCACTCAAATCCTTTTTTTTTTTTTTTGATCAACAACAAAAGTAATTTTATGAAAAACAAGAAGGGGACAATAAGTCCTTTTTAATGAACACAACCATTACACCAGGAAAGAACACTAAAAAGACATATACATTGCAACTATGATGCACTGACACCTCTCCAGAGGTGGCATACAGGTGTTTGACATGCTTGAGAGAGTCGAACATGTTGTGGACTCGTTGGGATATGCTAGAGACACGCTGAAGACCACTTTCAAAAAGAAAAAAAGAAAATTTAATTATTTTTACTAAAATAACATACCTAAGACATATAATGAAATATTATAAATTATATGTTTTGCATATGTTTCCAACATGTCATGCATTTTTTGAAAATTTGTGTGTCTGTGCTTCTTAGCATTGCACATCCTTACTTTTTTATTTATTAATTTTTAGTTTGAATCAATGAATGCAAATGCAACCTAGGAGTTGATATCTTTGGCACACTAAATACATTCAAACTAGTGCAAGACTGAGATGATAACTTGTGTGTGGGCAGTGCTACGACCGAGTTACATTCTGAATAGAAGATGTTTGTGACCATACATACAGATTTAGCAAATACATTGTTTATTAGAAAGAGAAACAAATGGAAAAAAGGTATACTAGTGAATACATTGTTTATCCTTTAGTTTTCTCTAGTCCCAGTTTTGAATTTATTAACATCCCTCCCTGCTATCTGAACATACAGACTGTCAAAGATGTGAAGAAAATGCTTGGGACTACAATGAAAGGCTAGTGCTTATTTATTTATTTTTATTACCATCTCTTCAGCTCCTGTCCTGCAATGTTCTATACTTTTGGTATAATTGTTTGTTATTCTGTTTTCTGTCTTTACAGATTTGCTTCAGTCAAGTCGTAAAAATCTGTGGTCTTCAAGGAAAGTGAAAAGAATCGTTCCTTTTCAGGGCTCTGTAAAATTTGTACAAACTACATGTCGAATATCTGTTCCTGGGACTTCATCAATAACTAAAGAAAATGTGTCTTCAAACTTTTTGAGGGACAAGCAATTGGTTCCTGATTCAGATCCCCCAAGCATCAAAGATGTTGAGCTTTTGTACCAATTCTTTGATCAGAGGTTTCCAAATTTGACATTCTCTTAATAATAAATGCGGTTCAGAACTATGTGTATGTTTCTTCTTAGGTTCTGTTGTATTGATTATGTACTTATTGTGCAGTACCAAACTTGTCGTTTTGACTGGAGCTGGAATAAGCACAGAATGTGGAATTCCTGATTATAGAAGGTTCTATTTCCAATTTTTTAAAGTTTATGTGGAGCATATTAGTCCCTCAAAATTTTGATTGCAACCTCCAATCATAATTTACTCGTAAAAGTATGTCTCAGGGAAGCATGAATTTCGTAGCTGTAAGCTTTTTGAAATTTTACTAATTAATAATGGGCATTCTGATTATTTTCTAGATATGAATTGTAATTCTGAATGTTAGTTTGAATTTTATTGTATCTTGTATATTTTGCCAATGTGGCAACCAAAAAGTACTTGCAGGTTGTTGCAAAAGCAAAATTTGTAAATCATTTGCAACTACTTTTGTTCTGTTTTTATTCCTTACTGGTTTTGTATATATTTCAGAATGCCGCATTTTGGTTGGCAGTAGTTGACTAGGTTTACCTTTGCCTTCTATCTTAATGTGTAGCACGTGGGCCTTCTTCACCATCAAAGATTTTCTTTCACCATGTCTTGTAATCGAATTTATTTGTTTTCCTTCTAAATGAATTGTGTATGGGTCTTCTTGTTGATTACCATCATTATCTAAAAAGAATATAATAAAATTTCTGTTGCTTATCTGGTTTTTGGTGTATTTAAATCTAAAAGAGCGTTCATGATTTGATATTCGGAGTACTTTCTAACATAGCCACTGAATTCTCAAGATTGAACCAACCAACCAACACAACCTACTTCTAGAACTTGTATTCATTCCTTCAGCTACTCGGGATGACTCGGGTTACAACTCCACCTTCTGACTCATCATTTCCTCCCAAACCAGGGGCATAACAACAAGAGGCAATACATCTACTTTAGCCATCTATTCAAACCATTCTATAGTGTGGCCCGCCCTAGGAATTCGATCACGCACTATGAGTTGGGTGAGCGGTGGGTCTCAGTACCATGGCTTTTAATGGCCTTTGATGCTTGTTCATTTCTTGGGAAGAAATGCAAGGCTTTAGTTTGTCATAAGGTTCCTCCCGTACAATGCACTGTTAAATTTGGAGTTTGCTACATTATCTTTTAATTTATAGACATTATCATTGCTACTCTAAATTCAATGCTTACAGGAATTTTTTGTTATTTTGTTTTCATTTATTTATTTATTCTTATGAATATACTGGATTGTTTTGTTTCAATGCAGCCTAAATGGAGCTTAGAGTTCTGGCTTCAGACCAATTACCCACAAGGTGATCTGAAGGCATGTGCTCTATTATCTTGATCTGTTATCATGTTTAGAGTCGAACATGTTGTGGACTCATTGGGATATGCTAGAGACACGCTGAAGACCACTTTCAAAAAGAAAAAAAGAAAATTTAATTATTTTTACTAAAATAACATACCTAAGACATATAATGAATATTATAAATTATATGTTTTACATATGTTTCCAACATGTCATGCATTTTTTGAAAATTTGTGTGTCTGTGCTTCTTAGCATTGCACATCCTTACTTTTTTATTTATTAATTTTTAGTTTGAATCCATGAATGCAAATGCAACCTAGGAGTTGATATCTTTGGCACACTAAATACATTCAAACTAGTGCAAGACTGAGATGATAACTTGTGTGTGGGCAGTGCTACGACCGAGTTACATTCTGAATAGAAGATGTTTGTGACCATACATACAGATTTAGCAAATACATTGTTTATTAGAAAGAGAAACAAATGGAAAAAAAGTATACTAGTGAATACATTGTTTATCCTTTAGTTTTCTCTAGTCCCAGTTTTGAATTTATTAACATCCCTCCCTGCTATCTGAACATACAGACTGTCAAAGGTGTGAAGGAAATGCTTGGGACTACAATGAAAGGCTAGTGCTTATTTATTTATTTTTATTACCATCTCTTCAGCTCCTGTCCTGCAATGTTCTATACTTTTGGTATAATTGTTTGTTATTCTGTTTTCTGTCTTTTCAGATTTGCTTCAGTCAAGTAGTAAAAATCTGTGGTCTTCAAGGAAAGTGAAAAGAATCGTTCCTTTTCAGGGCTCTATAAAATTTGTACAAACTACATGTCGAATATCTGTTCCTGGGACTTCATCAATAACTAAAGAAAATGTGTCTTCAAACTTTTTGAGGGACAAGCAATTGGTTCCTGATTCAGATCCCCCAAGCATCAAAGATGTTGAGCTTTTGTACCAATTCTTTGATCAGAGGTTTCCAAATTTGACATTCTCTTAATAATAAATGCGGTTCAGAACTATGTGTATGTTTCTTCCTAGGTTCTGTTGTATTGATTATGTACTTATTGTGCAGTACCAAACTTGTCGTTTTGACTGGAGCTGGAATAAGCACAGAATGTGGAATTCCTGATTATAGAAGGTTCTATTTCCAATTTTTTAAAGTTTATGTGGAGCATATTAGTCCCTCAAAATTTTGATTGCAACCTCCAATCATAATTTACTTGTAAAAGTATGTCTCAGGGAAGCATGAATTTCGTAGCTGTAAGCTTTTTGAAATTTTACTAATTAATAATGTGCATTCTGATTATTTTCTAGATATGAATTGTAATTCTGAATGTTAGTTTGAATTTTATTGGATCTTGTATATTTTGCCAATGTGGCAACCAAAAAGTACTTGCAGGTTGTTGCAAAAGCAAAATTTGTAAATCATTTGCAACAACTTTTGTTCTGTTTTTATTCCTTACTGGTTTTGTATATATTTCAGAATGCCGCATTTTGGTTGGCAGTAGTTGACTAGGTTTACCTTTGCCTTCTATCTTAATGTGTAGCATGTGGGCCTTCTTCACCATCAAAGATTTTCTTTCACTATGTCTTGTAATCGAATTTATTTGTTTTCCTTCCAAATCAATTGTGTATGGGTCTTCTTGTTGATTACCATCATTATCTAAAAAGAATATAATAAAATTTCTGTTGCTTATCTGGTTTTTGGGGTATTTAAATCTAAAAGAGCGTTCATGATTTGATATTCGGAGTACTTTCTAACATAGCCACTGAATTCTCAAGATTGAACCAACCAACCAACACAACCTACTTCTAGAACTTGTATTCATTCCTTCAGCTACTTGGGATGACTCGTGTTACAACTCCACCTTCTGACTCATCATTTCCTCCCAAACCAGGGGCATAACAACAAGAGGCAATACATCTACTTTAGCCATCTATTCAAACCATTCTATAGTGTGGTCCGCCCTAGGAATTCGACCACGCACTATGAGTTGGGTGAGCGGTGGGTCTCAGTACCATGGCTTTTAATGGCCTTTGATGCTTGTTCATTTCTTGGGAAGAAATGCAAGGCTTTAGTTTGTCATAAGGTTCCTCCCGTACAATGCACTGTTAAATTTGGAGTTTGCTACATTATCTTTTAATTTATAGACATTATCATTGCTACTCTAAATTCAATGCTTACAGGAATTTTTTGTTATTTTGTTTTCATTTATTTATTTATTCTTATGAATATGCTGGATTGTTTTGTTTCAATGCAGCCCAAATGGAGCTTACAGTTCTGGCTTCAGACCAATTACTCACCAGGTGATCTGAAGGCATGTGCTCTATTTTCTTGATCTGTTATCATGTTTCTTTGTGGAAGGGGTAACTGTTTCTATTTGGTTTTAGGAGTTACCTTGATCAGAAGGAAATTAGAGCGAGGAGTAATAATAAAAAGAATGAAACAATTGGGAGCAGCTCCTTATGGAGTCAAAACATTAGAGAACGACTGTGAAAGAGATGAAGATAGCCTGACATTTATTAATTATTATCCAACAAAAAAGCTACTTTCTACATCATCTATTTAATCCAAAGGCTCAACAAGGAATAAAATATCAATACGAAGAAGATATATTGCAACCTAAAAGAACATGGATATATTGATGAATCAAAGAAATTGATGTCATTCTTGAAAAAACTCGGAAATTAATAAAAAATGAAATATTTTGGATCATATAGATACATCAAGGTTTGAGAATAGATATCATGCACGCAGTGGCGGAGCCAAGAAATTAAAGCAGAGGAGGCACTTATTAATTACAATATTAAATTTTTTTATAAAAATATTTAACATAAATTTTTACCATTAACTTCAAGAAAGATAAAAAAAAAAATTAATCAGTGTGTTTGGTTTTAGTTTTCTGAAAACCAAGTTTTTTATTTTTCGTATTTTTTTTATTTTAGTGAATATTTTTTAAATTTTAAACAATTTTTTTTACTTTTTTAGATGCACATTACTTAGATATATATCCAAATAGTAAAATATTTGTGAAAAAATATTTTAAAAAAATTAATAAATACACAAAAATACGAAAAATGTATTGAATTTTGATATTATTTTTTGGTATTTAGTGTATTTTTTTAAAAAAAAATTGACAAATATTATACTTTTTAGGTATATTTATGTTAGGTGTGTCTAAAAATTAAAAAAATTTGCTTAAAACATTAAAAAAAAATTATTGAAAACATTAAAATACGGAAAATAAAAATATAGAATTTTTTGAAAACTGTTTTCTGAAAACTAGAACCAAATAAGCTAAATATTATTTGTAATTAGTGTATCATGGACAATATTAAAAAAAGTCATGGATATAAAGTTTTAAAATAAATTATATAATGATAAATTAATTTTTTTATACAAAATATGCGTAAAAATTCAATATGATAGTTATACCACGTCATCATTAACATGTGATATCACCAACCAATAGTAAAGAAACACATAGAGAATGAACGCTACATGTCAAATGTAACTAATAATTCAATAAATTTTATATTTTTATTGAGATTAATTATGTTTGCATGTCAATAGTGATAGACATCACCATTACATTGAAATTTTCATAGATAATAATATCGTAATCACTTTATTTTCAATCAAAACAACCATTTTTATCCTTATTATTTTAAAAATGTCATTGACATTTAAAATAGTATTTTTATAAATTTTTTTATTTAAAGTATTTTCTTTATGTTTGCTTTTAAAAAAAAAAAAAAATTTGCAAAACCCAGGGGGGGCACGTGCCCCTGCATGCACGCATTACAAATTTTGCAAATTTCATGTTTTGTGTATTAATTTATTTGTAATAACGAATAACTTAGATTAATAAATTTTCTATGTTTTGTGCTTCTCGTGCAACAAATAAGTTTTTGACAGTTGGTATCAGCTCCATTACATCAACGACCTGTAGCTGTGTTATAGGATTGCATACTCACTGAAAAATGAAAATTATGCTCCATTAAGTTGAATTTTTGTAGCTCACTTTAGTGATCATGACATTAATCAGTCTTACACAAGCTGGAACTAGTACGGAACGGAAATGACTTAGGTATCCCACATTTGGAGCTCGAAAAAAGGATCTGTGAAATGGCTTGAGACTGCCATTCTTCTATTTGAAACAAAGCACTTTAATATTTTGCTGAAAATATTGTGAAAATAAATAAATTTTCTTGTACTTATTTATGTGAAGTCATTTGTGGCACAAATGCTTCCTATTCATTAAAAAAGATTCAGTTCAACCCGTGCACATCATAGTGACATTGCCTCATCCCTTAATTTCATCAGTGTTCTTTGTTTTCTTGATTTTATTCTGAATTTAACTGATGGAACCATGGACATTAATCTTTCTGATACGGATCTGATGTAAAGTGAGGTTTTATTCATCTGATCCTTCCAGTCTTCCTTAAAACTGCATGAAATTTTATGGTTAACATTTCCTCTTGGTTTTCAAAAATTTGGCACAATTGATCAGTTACTTGAAATAGTCCACTGTAATTGTCCTTGTTTTCATTGACTGGCTGAAACTCCATGATTAATTTATGCCCTCTTGGGATCTTCTGTGTACAGGAGTTTCTCCATTCAACCCGGGCCAGAAGGCGGTATTGGGCGAGGAGCTATGCTGGATGGAGACGCTTCACTGCAGCACAGCCTGGTCCAGCTCATTTTGGTTTGTCATCACTTGAAAAAGCCAGCCGGATAAATTTCATGATTACACAAAATGTTGACAGGTAACCAACTTTTTTTTCATATTGAATTTCAAGGCTCTGCAGTACCCTGAGCAAAACTGATGGACCCAATTCATCAACATCTTGTACAGGCTGCACCATTCTGCTGGTAGCAACCCACTCGAATTACATGGAACTGTCTATAACGTAGTTTGTATAGATTGCGGTTTTTCTTGCTGCCGTCAATTGTTTCAAGATCAATTGAAGGCCCTTAATCCAAAGGTTAGTCTCCTGATGTACAACTCATTGATTCAGAATAATGACTGTATAATGTATTTCCCTGATACCATATGTTACATTGCAGTATTTATCTATCAGAGCTCAAGAAGTGAGCCCATCACTTAAAACCATTATTGTTTTATTGGATGTTAAATTACTAAAAGTTTGTGATTTTGTCTCATTATTTAAATGTATAGGATTTGTCATGGAGTTTTGAATCCTGTGTTTTCAAATCCTGTAATTTCTTGAATATCTTATTTAACTTGGGATTCCAAAAACAATGATTTTAAAGTTAAATATCTTCATGGAAACTTTTATACTTAAATTTGCTCTTGTTACATCATGCTTTTTTGCAAGGGAATGATTAACAATGCTGGAAAAACAAAACATATTCCCATTTTCAAATGCTTTTCAAATTTTAAGCAGTACAATTTTGCTTCTTCATGTAGTGAAGATTTAGAACCCAACTACGATGATATAGTGCTCAGGCGAACAGAATTATGTAGAAGAATGAAATTGTGTGATGTCTTTTTTTTTGTTTACCAGATAATGATCACTTTAAATTGAAGCCAAATTTGTTTATACATGGCATTGTTTGCAAGGTGTTTGGCATTACCGGCTGTTCATAAACTTCCAGATGCATTGACCTCATGGCATGCATAAGAATAACTTTTACTATTTACCCTTTGGAAACATCTTTTATTAGTAATCAGTTCAGATCTAAAAGAATCGGCTTTGAGTTCCGTATCATGCAATGTAGTCCCATTTCTATGACGGCAGGAACAATACATATGAATCTTTTCTGTAGGTTCCGTTGCAGTTATCTTTTTGAATACTTTGTCCTATTGTATGCCTTAGAATGGTAGAAATTGAATTTAGTCGTAGCCTCATAGTCATAGTTCAATTTACTCGCCCTTTATTTGAGGTGGCAATTGAATAATGTGTCGTTTCCTTGCAGTGGGCTGCGGCAATTGAAAGTTTGGACTATGACAGCCGGTCAGATAAGAGCTTTGGCATGAAGCCAAGGCCTGATGGTGACATTGAGATTGATGAGAAATTTTGGGAGGAAGGTCTTCAAATCCCAACTTGCCAGAAATGCAATGGAGTGCTCAAACCTGACGTAATACATTTGACTTTTAATATATGTATTTGCAGTGTTTCAGTTTGCTTTCTTGGAGGGTGCTTATAATTCTCACCCTGAAAGAAGAATATGATTTGGTATGATTGTAGGTGATGTTGAAAAGATATGCACACTGAATAGCCAATACCTGCTGATCAAACCCTTATATCTGTCTATTGCTTTACATATTAAAACCTTAGACACTAAATGATAATTAATGTGCCCCCATTGTTCTTTGTAAAAAAGAAAAGGGAACTGTTACCGCAGATGCATTTTTAGAGGACAACATACACATACTGATCTCTTAACCTTCCTGCGTAGCGAAGTTGCATATGTTTCGATGTCGATATTATGTTGCGTTGTGATACCAAAGAAAGAAATGTGGAGTAGAACTTCCTTTGGTTATGGTCTCATTGTCATAATTTGTCATTGATTCAAATTATTTTTGCTCCACTGACAGAGAGGATCTATTATTTTTTATTGAATTGTATGGTCAGTAGGAGTTCTTTGTAGTTTCTCTTGGTTTTATATCATTGCATTTAGCTTCTCTGCGCACACACTTCCTTGAACTACATAAAAAATATATATCCCGAGGTAATCCCTTAGATGCTTGTATGTATTTGATAATTTTGAAGGTTGTCTTCTTCGGCGATAATGTCCCCAAGGATAGAGCTGATAAAGCAATGGAATCTGCAAAAGAATGTGATGCTTTCCTTGTTCTTGGATCAGCTCTCATGACCGCGTCTGCTTTCAGACTTGTTAGGTACAAAATGTTGTTGCTTTTCTTTTCCTCTATTGGGTCTGTTACCAGATAAGCTTTATGTATGAAAAAAATTTGGATTCGTATTTACCTTGGAAAAATTGAATATCATATCTAATCTGAGGAAAATTTAAGAGAGTAATGTATACTGTATTTTCCTCCAAATTATTGATAATCTCTGGTTGATATGGCTTTTCAAATTGATTTTACAGAGCTGCTCATGAGGCAGGTGCTGCTACTGCAATTGTAAATGTAGGTGTGACCCGGGCTGATGATTTTGTGCCCTTAAAAATCAATGCTCGACTCGGAGAGGTCTGGTTCCTTGGAATTACTTAAGCAGCAAGTTCTTCGCAACTGGTGTGATAGCTTATCTGATCATAAAATCGCTTTGTTTGTTGGTGCAGATATTGCCAAGATTGCTTGATTTTAGGAAGGAAAGTCAGCTCGTTCACTTATTAGACAAAAATGGCTTAGTGTGAGTGTTTCATTGGCTTCTCTTGTCGAAGCAAAAAATAAGCAAAAACTCACAATCAAATGCATAAATTCATTATGAGATGTACACAAAAGCAACAAATACACCACCATCAAAAGTACATTACAAGGTATTAACTTTCGCTTGCAAATGCATGAACTTTTTATAGAAGTTATTTGCAAAGAAGACCTTGCAACTTGCAGGTAGAGACAGGTCTATTTTAAAAATAGACAGAAAACATTAGAGGGGAGTTATGTTTTACTCATCACAAAGTGACAATTCTTTGGACACTGATTTAAAAGTATGTTAGAGGTTGTAACAAAAGGGATAATACTAGTTCTGCAATTGAACTGAGTTGTTTGTGAACTGAGTTCGATTTGTTAAGTAGCCTAGTTTGGAAAGACTAAATAAGTATACTTTTTGACTTTTTATGAAATATGGGTTGAGTTTAGGTTGGGTTTGAAGTGATGTGTTAGAGAGGTGATGTGACTTAAATAAGATGATGTAACTTAAATAGGATAGTAACTTTTTGACTTTTTTCAAACATGCCAAACTAGCCCTAAATAGAATATGAATCCATGTTAAGGTTGTAACAAAAAGGATAATACTAGTTCTGCAATTGAATTGAGTTGTTTGTGAACTGAGTTCGGTTTGTTAAGTAAATAAATGAACTCAAGTCAGATTATTAGTAAACGACTTAAGCTCGAGTAAACTGAACTTATTTATCTTTATGTAAATAATGTAAATAAAAAAAAAAAAAAAATTATTATTGAGTTTTGAGTCCAGCTTGAGCTGGATTAGTTATTGAGCCAAGCTCAATCCCTGTAAGGCTCAACTTAACAAAGTTAGTTTGCAGCCCTAAATAGTGTCCAAATGATCCAGAAAGAGAACCTATGAGCACGGATATGACCAAAGTCCTAAATGACAGTTCCAATATGGATAAATTGTGTTTTAACATTGTCGTTCATGATTATCACTATTAAATTATATTGATACAACAAATTGGTTGATTTGGCATCCAATTAACATGAATTGTCTTTGCGAGGTCACCTTGAACAATCATTTTTCAAATTTGTCATGCATCCACCAATACAAGATATCTAAACTCATTGCACAATTAATGAAACCTATAGTAATTATCGTGAATCCTATACTGATCATTTTTCAAATTTTCCATGAATCCACCAATACAAGATATCTAAACTCATTGCACAATCAATGAATCCTATAGTAATTATCGTGAATCCTATAGTGATAATGACAACGGGGCCCACCTCAAATCATATATCAGGAGTATAGCAAATCTGGGAGCTCGCTAGGGCAATGCTCATTGTCTGTTCAAATGGTTGGAAATCTTGAAATGATTCCAGTCCTCAAGACTTTCTAAATTAACACCAAGAAACACATGCATCGTAGATTTAATAGCAAGTTAGCCAAAAGCTACCCAGTTTCCATCCTCAAATAGATACACAAAATCAACAGTTTCATTCACCATTCCATCCTAGTCCCTACAAGATTGACAAAATATAGCAATTTGATAACATTTAATAGCAAGCTAAAAGTTACGCCTCAATCAAATAGATACAAAATCAACAGTTTCATTCACCATTCCATCCTAGTTCCCTAGAAGGTAGACAAAATACAGCAATTTCAGTTCCATTGAACTCTCACTAATTTGTGGTGTTTGTTTGATTTTCACTGGTTAGTTGTTCATTGAGCTGAATTTTCTCTCGCATTTGAATTTTTCTTGAAAACATTAAACTCTTATTAATTTAGATTACTTGTTTGGTTTTCACTGATTAGTTGTCTTATTGTATGTAATTTTCCCTTTGAGATGAATTTTCTCTAGCACTAAGATATCCCCTTTAGATTAATTTTCTTTGAACACATTGGATTCTTTTTCTTTCTGTGCCTTACTTGATTTTCTCTGACTAGTTGTTTCTTTAATTTTCTCTCAAAATTTTTTTGGCATTTGAATTTTTCCTGCTCACATTAAACTCTCACTAATTTATGTTGTTTGTTTGATTTTCACTGAATTTCTAATTTCTAATTTTATTTTTGATCTTTTGGGATGTGTATGTTTGCTTTTTTTAAAAATGTAATTAGATTTTGTATTTTAAGTTTTTGATGAACTTAGCATGGTGTTTTCTTGTAAAAATTATAGAAGAATTGGTTTGTGAGTAGCTCAATTTTCTCTGTAATTATCTCTGATTTGTTCAAAACACAATGAAAATTGTGAGTAAATCAGACAAAACTAGTCAAAACATAGAGAAATTTGTGAGTAAATTAGAAATTTCTCCGTGTTTCAAAATTTCTTTGGTTCGAAATTTATCTGGAACCAAATTTGAGGGATCTCAGTTATTATGAAAATATTTCATATCTGTTATATTATAAAATCTTAATATGAGGGATTTTAAAAAAATTCTCCTATTTTTTATTTTTATAAATATAATCTGAATTATAATTTCCCTATTAAAAATAAAGCCATGACATACTCGGGGTGACTTTTCTCTACGTGTGAAAAGTATACAAGATATCTAAACTCATTGCACAATTAATGAAACCTATAGTAATTATCGTGAATCCTATACTGATCATTTTTCAAATTTTCCATGAATCCACCAATACAAGATATCTAAACTCATTGCACAATTAATGAAACCTATAGTAATTATCGTGAATCCTATACTGATCATTTTTCAAATTTTCCATGAATCCACCAATACAAGATATCTAAACTCATTGCACAATCAATGAATCCTATAGTAATTATCGTGAATCCTATAGTGATAATGGCAACGGGGCCCACCCCAAATCATATCAGGAGTATAGCAAATCTGGGAGCTCGCTAGGGCAATGCTCATTGTCTGTTCAAATGGTTGGAAATCTTGAAATGATTCCAGTCCTCAAGACTTTCTAAATTAACACCAAGAAACACATGCATAGTAGATTTAATAGCAAGTTAGCCAAAAGCTACCCAGTTTCCATCCTCAAATAGATACACAAAATCAACAGTTTCATTCACCATTCCATCCTAGTCCCTACAAGATAGACAAAATATAGCAATTTGATAACATTTAATAGCAAGTTAGCTAAAAGTTACTCCTCAAATAGATACAAAATCAACAGTTTCATTCACCATTCCATCCTAGTTCCCTAGAAGGTAGACAAAATACAGCAATTTCAGTTCCATTGACAACGCTTCCTTCAGTGACATCAAACAGATACTCATATCCTCCAGCTTTCTAACCATTCTCAGCAACTGCCTGGTCAATTTCATCAACATGGTCTCGAAGTACATTCCACTACAAACGAAGGTAAATTAAATATAATTCCTTCAATAGGATAAAAGAAAAACAAAAAAGGGCCATCCAAAACATACCTGATCCATGGGCAGTGAAATACCTGAAACAGTGCAATGAGACTATTATTATTTGATCTCATCTAATGTACAAACTCAACATCTATACATGACACATTTAAACAAAAATCCTCAAGTTCTTTCATGAGAGGCAATTACAATCATAGCCCTAAGTTTTTCTAGAAAAAAAAAAAAAAAGTCATGATAATTTACATAACCGAATACTCAAAAAAATAACGAAAATATTTCAATAAACTAGTCAAGGTAAAGCACTCTAACACTGACATTCTATACAGTATATATAGTTTTCCCAATAAAAAGTTCAACTTGAAACCTGCCAGCAGAAGTCAATGTAAGGGATTGGAGTATTTATAATAAAAAAAAAATGTAAGGGATTGGAGTAGAGCACAAAAGCTAGTTTCAAATTGAATAAGTAGGCAGGGAACATGTAGCAACTCTCTACAGACTCAAACAGGAAAATACTGTAAGGTTTGCACAATATTAGAATGAAGAAAAGCCTAAGGAAATTATTGCCGATTTGCAGATAAAGTTAAAAAAAGAAGAAGCAATTTTCACTTCAAAAAAGCAATATAAAGATGAAAAAAATAAGTAGAGCTTAACTTTTACATTGAAAGTTATAATATTCCAAATGGTAAATTAGATACACACAACACAACACCTAAAATATATAACATGCTAACCAAAAATACGCAAATATATACAATACCAAGAGCATACATATATATATGTTGCCCTTATTTTAGTCCAAAATAATGCCCTTATTTTTGTAAAGATAATGATTTTCATTTTAGATGCAATCTTTTATTATAATTGTTTAAAAAATTAATATGCAAGACAATCATTGTCATATATAAATGTGTAATTCATAATAAGAAACACTTTAACATAGCTTTATTAAGCACTCCATAAAAAAACTGTACAATTTGTCAGTATTTTCAATAACAATTGTATAAAGTCTGTTCACAATGCACAAGTTTCTTCAACACTTTCTCTAACATATCTACTTTCTCATGTGATCTAGCACGTTCTAACAAATTCTATGTCCAATGATATTATTGTTAGGTGCCAATTAAATTCCATGTGATTTACACAAATGACAAATCCCATGTACTTTTACAAAGAGTTTCATAGCTTCCATATTCCATGTCCTTTCCATATTCATTTCAAATATGCTATAACAAAAAGGATAGGAAGATACATTTGAAACACCATTCACCTTTAATTTAACCAGTACCACTGGCTAAAAAATGTCCCTTCGTCCTTAAATTATCTAACTTTTCCCATTTTAAATAAGTAATGTGCAACTGCAAATAGCTAATGCATCATTCATTTGTAGTCTAAGAAGTACGGACCCTTCTAAGAAGGTAACGTATCTGTGTGTCGAACACCGACACTCTTTGGACACTTCCCCGACACGTGTCCAACACTCTTCAAAACATGTCATATTTTTAAAAGACCTGGACACTCTTTGAACACTTGGAAGACAAACGTGTATCTCTTAAACACACGTGTCTATCGATTAGACACATGTGAAACTAATTATAATTTTAAACAAAACAACTTAGAATACAATAATAAAACTAAAACCATATAAATTTATAGGGATTAGTCTCATATTACATTTTTTTTTAATTATTTTTGAATGATATATTCATATATATAACATATAATAAAAATATAAAATTATATATTTTATGTATGTTCCCACATGTCGTGTCTTGCATTTTTTAAAAATTAACGTGTAGGCGTGTCCGTGTCATATCCATGTCGTGTCACATGTCTGTGTCCATAATTCTTAGTTTGTAATTAATTAAAAGATAAATTGCACTTTCACTTTCACCCCTTAAAGTATGTATGACTAGGGGTGCAACTCGGGCAGGTTTGGTCGGATTGAGAAGTCGTCCAAACCCAGCACAAGTTGTGTTGAGACTTGCTCAGGCCCGAATTGTAACCCGAGGTTACCTGCCCAAGTCCGACCCGAGTTAAGCCCGAATTGTAAATGAATTTTAGGCCTCGTTTGGGAACAGGTTAATTTAGTAACTTTTTAGCTATTTGGCTAAAATGTGATGTAAAAAAAACTAGTATGTTTGGGATGACTTTTTGGCTTTTTACGAAAAGATGTGCAAAAAGTAGAGAGAAAAGGGAATCTTTGACTTTTTGGTATGAGTAGTTGGCTTTTTGGCTTTTTTAGTAACTTTTTGACTTTTTGACTAAAATAGCCTCTTGCCAAACGAGGCCTTAATATATATTTTTTTTATAACTTTTTTTTTAGTTACATTATTAAATTATTAAAATTTGATTCTATTTACATTTTTTTTATTTATAGAAAATCACTAATACCATCAAAACAAATAATTTATATAATGTAAGAGAGATGTCGCTATAGTAACCTTTACAATTTATGAGCGAAAATAAAAAAAGTAAGATTTTATATTATTTATATATATAATATATATTCAATATGATTTAATAATATAAATTACTTTAATATCATGTAATGGCTAACAATTTATATGTATATTTAATATTTTTAAATATCTATATATGTATAATTCGGGTTTCGGATTGCTCGGGTTGTTTGGCGCCTTTCCCTAAGCCCGCCTAAATTTAATTCGGCCTTCTAAATTTTTGTCTAAACTCGTACTAAATTTAAAAATATCTTATTTAAGCCCTAAAAAAATTTGGGCGAGCTTTTGAATTTTTGCCTAAACTCGTACTAAATTTAAAAATATATTGTCTAAACCCTAAAAAAATTCGGGCTGGGTTCAGGTTGCTTGGGTTGAACCCGCTCAAATTGCACCCCTATGTAAGTCCCTTTTATCACTTTGCTCCTTCAAAAAAAGATTATCTCACTTTGGTCCTAAAATTAGCTAAGTTTTCCCACTTTGGTCCAATTGCCAATGGCTGCTAGGGTTGAAAGGGTTGTTTTGAAATTCTTCTTCTTAGTATCTCAACTTAGCCCTGCACACAAAGTTTGCGTGTATGTAAGAATGGAGAGGGTGAAATTGAGTTGATTTGTAAAGTGTTGGGGTGCAGGTTTTGCAGAGAAACTAGATTTATTTATATGATTTCTAAAGATGCAATCTTCATAATAAGAAATAATAACCATTCAAGACAATCAAATACTCAATGGCTTCAATCATTTTTTCTCTCATCAAAATTGTAATGATTCTACCTTTATAACTAGAGGGAATTTAACAGTTCCATTCATCATAACTATGAAGAGTCTAAGAATACGAAAACCCAAATTATAACTGCTAAGTGAGTGAGTGAACTAGGTCAGTACGCTCATCACACTCCAATCAATCTTAGAAATTATCAAGAAAGCAAAATCCAGATTCCCTGTTTGGTTTGTGGATTTATTGAGACGAAGAGAAAATGCTAAAGAAATCACTATTCATGGTTTATCGGTTACGTTACGACACAAAATCAAGTTTTTGACAAATTTTTAGTTGTAGATATGAATTAGGGTTTCATATCATTGGGGGTTTCCTTGTCAATTTCCTTTCCTTTCAAATTCCAAATTCCAAACAAAACCAAAATGAAACTACCAAATACGACAAATCACTGCAACAGTGGTACATACAGAAGAAGCACACAGTGATAGTATATCAAATCGAAAGCATACATAGAAGAGTAGACAAAAATTGATAAAAAAAAATGAACCTTTTTTGCCAGGCATTTGCTTGCCATCTTTGACATAGAATTCCCGAATATCGACCACAATTTTTCCTTGCCAGTTCCTCACAGAAACTCTCCGATTCTTCGAAATCTATAAACACCAAACACAAATTCCCCATTCGATAAACATATATACAGTGTATGTGTATGTAAATAGACAAGTGAATTGACAGAGACCTCGCAGACAACGACGTCGTCGCCGTCGTCGGAATCATCATCGGCGGAGTCCTTCTTTGAGATTTTCTTAGGGGGAGCGTCGCCGTCGGATGCGTACTCTTCCTCGTCCTTCTTCTTTCCCCTTTTAAACATTCTTCTTGTTCTTCTTCCCTCTGTATATACAAATGAGAGTAACTATGGTGGTGGACGACGATACAAAACCCTAGAGACAGAGAGACAAAGAGCGCGATCGCTGCGTTGGGTTACACAAATACTAGCGGTATGGCTCGAGCAAGATTCTTGCTTGCCCTCTCTACTTGCCCGAAAAATGTTTTGGGCCCTAATTCTGTGGCTCAAATGTGGCTCAAATGGCCAAAACGACGTCGTTTTGGTCATTTTGATGTTGTTTTGTACTCAAAACGACGTCGTTTTGACCATTTGAGCCACATTTGAGCCACAAAATTTGGGCCCTCTACCATTGCTCCTACTTGCCCTCTCCGGTTAAGATTCACTCCAAGAATTTAATGGATGAGATCATTTTTTTAAAAAATCAAAAATTAAAAAGTAATTTTTTTTAGATGATTTGAACTATTAGATTTTTTTAAGGTGAATCTTAAGCGTTACAAGGAGGGCTAAGTAGAGAAAGTAAGGAAAAGATTCTTGTTCGTATCATCCTCCTTAACTTCTTACTTGTTAGTAGGGGTGGGCGCAGGTCGGTTGTGGCCATGGAATCTCCAATTCATCATCCGTTTGCCAGATTGGCGGATTAGAGAAAATCAATTCGCATCCGTCTGCCAATTCGGCAGCTGCGGTGAATCGGTTTGGCGGTTTGAAATTTTATAAATTTTCAACATATTTCAACTTGTGTACTTCCTTAAGAAAAAAAAAAAGAAAAAAAAGAAAGTATTATAGTCAATGACTTAAAAAAGTATTACAATTACTGCATGTCTCATAAAAAAAAAAGAAAGTTTGAAACTTTAGAATATCACAATCATTGCATACCTCATCCACATATTACAATCACAGCATGCTTTATCCACATAAAATATTACAATTTGTGGTTCTTAAAATATAAAAATAATTCAAACCACCAAAACCATGAACAGAGTAATAGTAGAGATTGTATATCTTTGTATTGTATATCTCTGTATATCCTAGCGGAGTCGCCAGAAACTGTAGACGTCCCCGAACGTCCCGGGAGGAAATCCCTCCCGTTTTGTTCATTGGGCTCACTACAGTTCAGGACTCGAAGTCACGGTCTTGTATCTAATCTCGCAGAGTGCAATGCAAGACCGATGAATCATCAAAGAGTCCAAATCCGGCAAATCGTTTTTGAAAATCGATTTTTTGAAAGAAGTACCAAACATAGACTGCTTTGCCAGATACAGAGTCGCTACTTAAATATTTTATTTTGAAAAATTTAGGAAACCCTGACTTGTTGCCTAAGGCCACGTGTCCGTCATCACCAAAGTTGCCTCGGCTCGGAAACTTGGGTACGATTAGGGAAGGTCACTTCGTGAGCACCTCCGCTCGTTCGATCAAAAATCGGCCTCTACTAACCATGATATCAAGTTTTGAAAACATTATGCGTTCTTATTCCGGTTATTAGCCTAGATTTACTATGTGATGCGCGTAGCATACAAGTATAGACTGGGTCACCTGAATTGGAACAAAGCATCTCATGTTTGTTTTGAAAATGGTTTGATGGCGCTACCCGCAAGTAGGCTAAGACGTGGATTTGCCACCCTCGGATGGGCTTAGAAAACATGATTTTGCCACTATCTAATGGGCTTAAAACTCACAATTAATGAATTGTTCCAATTCAAATAACCCAACCTTCACCCACAGGCATTCAGGCAGTTATATCATATAAGCACATAGCCTCATGGTAAGTATGCTATCATGGCAGTCACTCACACACATGCAAGGATGCTAAAGCATAAACACTTACCGAGTACTCCAAGCCAAAACAAAAGCTATGTTAGAAATCAATGCATGATCCTAACTATGCAGAAATGCCTAATGCAACACATGCAAAATACAACTAAGATAGGCTCGGCTATTCTAAACATGGCATATGATGATGCTACAGCTAGCACATATTCAACTTGGAATTGAAATACAAATGCAGTTAGTATGATGCGCCGAGCCCGGCGCATGCAAGACAGATGAATGAATGCAGACATGCTATCATACTGTATGCTAATTGAAACATGCCCTAATCTAACCATCATAAGCTGGTAAATAAAAGGGAGAAAGATGTGGGGTTGGAAGACATACATCATACACACGCACACTTATTACAGTTGTGCCCTCACTCGGAGGGTCCGAAAGAATAACATAGTCCGAATGATTAATACAGTCCAAAATGAATAATACAGTCCGAATGAATAATATAGTCCGAATAAATACAAAATCCTAATTAATTAACAAATTAACTAGGAAAGCGAGTAAATTAACATGCAAGCCTATGGACCGCCTCAGCTCTGTTCCGAATGATGGGAGATGCATGCTTGAGTTGCCCGGTGCGGAAATCCATTGCGATGCCCCAATTCGCCTCTGTTTGCAATTAATGCCGAAATGCTGTGCAAGGCTTTAAAAAGCTGCTGATTTCTGATTTGCTGCAACAGAGAGCGAGAAAGGGGCATGGCAAAGTATTTTCACATATGTATGCATAACTACTCTTTAGGGAGCGTAGTCCTCAATCCTCGTGCCACCAATTACGCATATCGATGCATGATGGCCGATGAGTCGAATTGCACAACTCAATATGAAATGAATGTACATGAAAACACAACAAGACCTAAACTCCATCATGGGTAATCTGGAGTGTCGGCGACGGGGAATTGAGACACGTTTCGTCACTCGGAGTACGAAACGTCCCTCGTTTCCCGTGCTTGGGCTAACTCCTATCCTAAACACAATGCAAATGAGATGGCATACACAATGCGACTAACATACAACCTAGCATACGCAATGCTATGAGATGGCATACATAATGCTCGATGTAACATGGCATACACAATGCTCTAACATGCAACCTAGCATACGCAATGCTATGAATTAAAAGGCATACACAATGCATGATGGACTTACACTAACATGAGTGGACCTCAGCCACACTTACATCAGCAGCCGTTAGGTGAAAATGAGACAACCGAAATGCGTGCACACATGCACACATACCGAGGACCGAACCTAAGGCATAAAATGCCACTCTACCAAAGCATGGCAAAGAATGAAAGATGGACTATGAACATGTAATTTCCAGTACTAAAACATGATGCTAAATGATCCCGAAACATGGAAATATGGCACCCGATGCATGGAATAAGTCCCGAAACTCAAAACTAGTCTAATGCATTGAACCACAAGTATACAAAGCAAGCATTATTTGATCATGAAGTCAAAAGACAGAGCCAAGGTAGTCCCAAAACATGCACATTTCTAGTTTAGAGCATGGCCAAAAGATGCTAACATGATGGACTAAAATAGAGTGCAACATTGGCTAGCAAGCATGGTTTACATGGCATGTATATGAAGCAAATGAGAACTCATCAAACCAACCAAAAACAGTGAATAAAACATGATAAAATATGCCCAAATAATCACTGAAATGCAGCCAATGCATGCAAAAATGAGGGGCTTCTTCGGAGGGCCTTGCAAGGGGTTGTTAAGCACATACAAGATAGACACGAAGCATGGCAAAACCACCTCTAGAAATGAGTTATGACGGCCCTAAAACTCACAAAATTGGCCCTAAAATCAGTCAAGGAAGCATATGATGAAAGGCCCCCTCAAAAGGCCTTGAATGAAATTGTTCTACACATGCACTATAGATATAAAATATGATCAAAAGGGCCTCGGACAGACCTAAGGCAAACCTTAAAACCCACATAATGAGGCCTAAAACCTGATTTCGATGCATGCAAAATAGGGTCCCTTTGGAAGGCCCAAAAGACCCCCAAACAAGACAAGGGGAGAGAGGGTCACCCCCCTCTAATTTTGGCCCTCAAAAATGCATATAAACCACTGAAAATCTACTGGATTTCAGTGGCTAAGAGGCCAAATCATGGCCAATGCAAGTGCTCTAATGCATGGCTCTAATCATGAAGGAATGAAGCATGCATAGGGGAGGATGACCCCAAACAGAAAAATGCCCTTAATAAAACTTGAAGAGGGGCTCAAAATAAGAACTTTTTCAGTTTATGAAAACTCTCGAAAATGTTCACAAGTAAGGCTAAAATAGGATGCAAAAATAGCCCTAAAAGAGAGATTGAACAAACAAGGAAGTAAATGACCTCAAAAAATAAAGTACCCTTAAACAAAGTTGAATAGGGGCTCAAAATAAGTCACTTTATAGTTTATAGTAAATCTCAAAAGTGCTCACAAGTAGGACCAAGATATGATGCAAAATAGGCTTACAAAGAGGGGTAAAGCATGCAGGGGTGTAGGAGGCCTCAAACAGAAAAGTGCTCTTAAACAAACATGAAGAGGAGCTCAAAATAAGAATATTTTCAGTTTACACCAAGGCTCGAAAATTCTTGCAAATGGAGCTAAGGTATAGGGCAAAATAATGCAAAAATGGGAGAAATGAGGACTTACCTTTGAAGAGCCGACCTCTAGCAGCTTTTGGACCAAGTTGGTGAGCTTTCAACCTCTGCAAATGGCTTCTGAGGTGCTGGAATGGATGATGGAGGTGTGGTGCTAAGGGTTGTAGTGTAAATGGACCAAGAAAGTTAGGGTTTTGGAGCTTGGAATAGTGGCAATGAAGGAGGGAGGTTATGTGCCTTGGCCAAAAATGTCTAACCCTTAGATATGAAGAGGAGGGCCTCTCTTATAGAGAAGAGAGGCCAAAGCTTCTCTTGGAAGCTTCAAAGATCCTCCATACACGTGTATGGAGGATGCTTTTTAAATATATAAATAGCATATTTCTCTTATTTTTTATACATATTTTTATATTATTTAATATATAAATAATAAATATTAAACGAGCCAGCTAATGAGCCGAGCTTACGAGTCGAGCTTTTTAGAATGTTTGGCTTGTTTATTAAAAATTTAACGAGCTCAAGCTCGAGCTTGAACGCAAAAAAAAATTAATGAACCGAGTTCGAACGAACTTTTTCCGAGCCGAGTTCGAACCTGTTCACGAACGGCTCTGTTCATTTGCAGCCCTATTTGTAGCATTATATTTGTGAATATTATGCCCTGTTTGGCAAGTCAACATTTTAACTAAATAGTCAAAAAATTATTTAAAAAGTTAAAAAGTTTATAACCTATATCAAAAAGTCAAAAAAAAAAATTTCTCT